GCACATAACAACAACAACAACAACATATTTGAGTATAATCTACTCAATTTACATAGAAATAGTAATGAAAGTTGGGGCAGAGTTCCATGGCACTATTGAATATTTGAGCCAGATATCTTTTTGTGGTAGATGGCTGTCTTGTGTGCTAAGAATGTTTAGCAGCATCCATGTGCCCTACACTGATGATCTCAGTAGTACTTGCAGACTAGTTAATAATTAAAAATGTCACTACCTAATGCTAAATGACAACAGGTCACACAATTGACCTCACCTGAGATAGTTTTAGAGGCACTCTGGACTAGAATGACAATCCAATTTTAAGTGAATAATGAAAAGAAAATTATAAAGAACAAAGTTTAATAAAATATGTTTATAGTATAAGAAGTGTAAGAGAAAGAAAAAGATAATAGACATTCATTTAGGCATTAAATATTATCCTAAACTCTGAGAGATGGAAATTATTTCAGTTTTGTGGATGAAGTTGGTTCTGTAGGATAGCCAGTATGTGCTCTCACATACGCATAGGCATGGATATCTCCTGCAAGTATGCACACAAGCAGAATTTGTATACAGACCAAAACTATGTACCAGGTGAAAGAGTATTTCCTACTTTTTATTTATTGATAATTTATATTTAATAAAACAGTCTAATTTTATCCAAAAATTGCAAACCTCACATTAAATCACCTTTGGAAAGAAGCATGTTTGAGTCAGAACCAATGAAATTGAAAATATGTACAATACTAGGCTTCTTGCTCCACCTTCATGAAAACCACATGTTCCAAATTGATTCATCTTGCATTTTCAAGCTGTCTAAAAAAAAAAAATCTGATAAACTCAGCTATATGTAGCTGTTAATGATTGAGAAGTTTTACTCTATCCTCTCTTCTTGAGATTCCTGCCTGATTTACGTCATTGGGTGAAATTCTAAATCACTAATTGGAACAGCTCAGGAACCAACAAGCATTGGCAGAAAGTTTGGTTTTCTTGGAGGTGTATTCCCTAAGATTTCAGGAATTGGCTGCAGTAGTGGTTTAGACCTGACTGTCTTGGCATACCTGTGTCTGTTAAAGTGGCAGGAGGAATTCGATAGCTGAATTTCTGTCTTAAGAGAAAGGGCCTTCATTCTGTATAAGAGAAAGAGGATCCTTTATCAGAAAATAAGGGCCATTACCTAACCATGTGCAGGAAACAAGCTGAGGGTAGAGGAATCAGGGCGGAAGATCATCCCAGTGACAATCATTCTCAATGCCTTGCGAAACCAGGGATAAAACATGCCATATATGATGGGATTGAAGGTAGAATTGAAATAACCCAGCCAGAGGAAGACATTGTATAAATCTTCCGGAGTTGTAAAATTAATGAAAGGGTCTGTGATTGTCAAGACGAAGAAGGGTAACCAGCACAGCACGAACACTCCCATGACTATGCTTAAAGTCTTGGTGGCCTTGCTTTCCTTTTTGGATGAAGCTTTTGTTTTGCTTTCTGACCCACCCTGTTTTGTTTTAGGACCTGTACCAATTTGCTTTGCATGCTTCCTGGCTACTGTGAAAATGTGAATGTAAATGCCCACCATTACTGTGCCAGGCAGAAAGAATGCTATGAAGGAGGCCAGCACACCCCAGAGCCTGTTAAATATCAACACGCATAATCCTGTGCAGTCAATGGCTGCAACAAAATCTTCGGCACCAATTAAGTTTAATTCAGAGAATACCAGCCCAAAGGCAAAAAAGACAGGGATGGACCAACTGATGAGGAGAAAGACCTCTATGACAGGAATAGTAATTTTGGTGACATAATGCAAAGGGTCACAGACGGCATAATAGCGATCAACTGAGATGAAGCAAAGGTGAAAAATGGAGGTGGTGCAGAGCATGATGTCGCAGCAGCTGTGGACTTTGCAAAAGAGGTCCCCAAAGTACCAGCAGGACTCAATGGATCTGATCATACTGAAAGGCATGACCACACAGCTCAGCAAGAAGTCAGTGGTGGCCATGGACAGGATCAAGAAGTTGGTCGGGGAGTGCAGTTGCTTGAAGTGGGCAATGGAGATGATGACGACCATGTTGCCCAGCATGGTCATCACTATAGCGCCGATCATGAGCACGTACATGGCGAAGACAGTAAACACCGACCTCACATTTTTAGGGCATGAATTGTTAACAGAAGGAAAGCAAAATTGTCCTTGTGTGGGGCCCCATAATTCAGGAGAACTCATTGCCTTTTTCTTAGGCGTATAAGAAGTCTTTTTCAGTGGCACTGTATTCCTCTTATTCTGTAAAGGAAAGAAGAAAAAAATAATAAAAATCGTTGACAGTACAATTTTTCATGAAGATCAAGCAAGTTGTAATTCCAATTTCAAGTTCAAACTCAATTCCAGCAAGGAAAGGTGCTTCTCACTTGTAATGTACTCAAGAATCAGCTGAGGGCCTAAAATACAAATTCTTATTCTTCCATGGGAACTAAGAGTTTGCATTTCCCATAAAATCCTAGGAAAAGTCACTGCTATTAGTGCAGAGAACACCCTTTGAGTAGTTGAAGTCCATAGGAAAGTAAATGAGCCAAGATAAAACCACCTGAATAACCAAGATAATGTGTGTTCTAGGAGGTTTCCATTCAAAAATCCACCAACAGGTCAAGAATTTTACCTATCACCCTCACTACTGTAAGATTTTTTTTTTAATTATATGGTGTTTCTCTGGAGACTAAGGTGCCCCTGATATAGGTCTTGGTCTTTGCAATCGCTTGTTATGCATCAGAGAGTTGGACAGTGACTAGGGAGGACAGAAGGTGAATTGATGCCTTTGAGCTATGGTGCTGGAGAAGAGTATTGAATGTACCATGGACTGCCAAGAAAACAAACAGATTCATCCTGGAGGGGGTTAAACCAGGCTACTCCTTGGAGGCAAGGATTCTGGTGCTTCATCTGACATACTTTGGACATGTTGTAAGGAGAGACAGGTCCTTGGAAAGGGACAATGTTCTTGGTAGGGTGGAGGGACAGCGCAAAAGGGGAAGACCCTCTATGAGGTGGATTGATTCAGTGACTGGGGTAATCAGGATGGGTGTGTCAGAGACAATGTGATTGGCACAAGATAGAGTAGGGTTTAGGGCTCGCTATGAGCCGCAAACGACTCGATGGCACATAACAGCAACAACAACATCAATAGATCAAATTTTATGCATAAAAACAAATGAAAAATATTGGAGAATGCTAGCAGGAGGATTCTTGATAAAGGAGAGCCTGCTAAAAATGGGAAGATTTTTGGTAAAATTGATTGACAGAGTGAAAGCAACAATGGACTCAAATGTTGCACAGTGACTATAGTCCACCGCTAAGTAGGGCTTCACCAATTAAGGATGTAGTTGTTATGAGCCAAATTGACTCAATGGTGCCTAACAACTGATACCACAATTTAGTGTTTAGCTTAAGTAAGAATTAGCATTTTAAAATGACTTATTCTCCTTCAATTTCTCTGTAGGCATTGGAAAAGCTTTTGGTACTGTGATTATTATTAATCAGTAAGGAATTTTTTCTATGCTTCACATGAAAAACATAAAAAGGAGTTAGAGCAATATTATGTTTACTGAAACACAAACTAAAACTCCTATGTCTGTACATGAATAGTTTTTTAAAAAATAGTAAAAATTTCAAGTGATTGTTGTTGTTGTCATGTGCTGTCGAGTCGCCTGTGACTCATAGCGACCCTATGTACAACAGCCCTAAAC